CCCCAAAACCCCAAAACCCCAAAACCCCAAAACCCCAATATTCTAACTTTCAGAACAATATTTTAAAAATATGAATAAAATGGCAAAAATCTTACACAGAAATCAGGAGACTAGCAAGTAAGCAGAGAAAGGGGGTTCTGGAGTGGGATAGGGGTCTTGGGGAAGAGATTGGGGTGATTTATGGACACTTTAGAAGTCAAGGGAAGAGGAAAGGAGGCATTGCAAAGAGATATAGGCCGAAAGAGGGGAAATAAGATCAATTCTATCAGGTTTCACTCCATTACGCCTCAGAATGGGAAGGTATGTAGTTAGTTGGGGTTTTATGGGGGGAAATTTGATTTAGGGGATATTTAAGAAGTCATTTTTGTTATCGAAATATTCGATAACGCCTCCAGAGATGGCTGAGTAAGTGTATTTTAAGAAATTTACTGGTATTTACATCGTTATAGAGGTAATTCCCTGGCTACTAGAAAGGAAAAGAGTATGACTATTCTTAATCATTTTAGGAAGCAAAAGTACACAAAGGACTATATACGATATTTATCTTAAGTAAGTATTTTACAAGATCACTTTATGAAAAATATATAATTATTTATAGCGATAGTAATTTACAACGCGATACTGATTTGGGCACAAACGGGTAAGGTTAAAATTAGTAATTCTTGCCATTATTCGATTTTATTTCACATACTTGTATACTTCAATCTTGAAACCAGGCTAATAACCCTCACAGAGCTTCAAATTTTCCGGTTTACAACCACAAGAATAGAGTTTTGTCGCCTGATTCGGTGAATTCATCAAACCAACCAGTAAAGAAGATGTCTAAGAAGTATCAATCGAAAGTAAAGATCAACAAAATTAAGAACAAATGTTTGATAAATCGGAATAATAGCTCAGAAAGGAAGGTACTTGCATAACCCGTTATCGCCGCTCATAGATAAAGCTACTAACCCAAGAAAATAAATTCAGCCTGAAGCATCTTCGGACTCAGTCTAAAATCGCAAGGGCTCCGTTTACCAGTGTGAATCTCAGGATGGACCACATCACGAAGAAAAGTGGGCCTTTGAAGAATGAGAAGAGGAAGAATTACCAAAGAGATTCATGCCATAGCGTTATGAGATCCACCAGCTCAAAGGTAGGTATTTTTCTCCACTCAACATCTCTAGGCAAGGAGTATTTCTAAACCTCTGATATATGTCTCTAAGGAGATACACCAAGTTTCCTCTCTGAGCGAGGAGATTGAGAGCCTTCAGATGCTGCTTTCCGAGTCCTGACAAGAAAATTATAAACTCAAGTGTGAAATCGTAAAACTTGATAATGAGCTTCATCAAAGAGGTATTAAGCAAGAACTTGAGCTGTCAAATTTGCAGATGAAGTTGAAGTTAATGGAGGAGGCTCTCAACAAAAGTAATTCGCAGATAGATAAATTGAAGCCTCTCCCCTACCTACTTGATAAGTAAGCTCATTATGGTTAATATTTAGGTACGAGCTCAAGCTTACTGAATATCAGAATGAGATTGACCTCAGGGAGATTAAAATACAAGATCTTGAGGAGAAAAAGGGAATTAAAAATCACCAAAGTTTGGACGATCTGGAAGAACGAATTCAGGTATGTTCCCACGCACTAACTTTAGTTCTTAATCAAAGAACTTGAGAGATGTAGAAACCAGCTAGAGATCGAAGCTATGAAGGAGCCTATGGACCTAAAGCAGTCTCGAATCCGAATTGATAGCAAGGTATTTTCTTTAAATTTAATATTCATCTTAAAATTTTACATTATATCCTCTAGATTGACTACCTGATCGAGAAGGGAAATGAATATATCAGTTCAGAAGATGACTCACTGAGTAAGGAGATACGAAAGCAGTATGATAAAGCTATCAACTGACACAGCAAAATTGAAATGGAATTTTCCTCATTGATTTAGAGAAGTAATATTATTAAAATTTTAGATTTCACGGGGTTTTGGGGTTTTGGGGTTTTGGGGTTTTGGGGTTTTGGGG